CAAAGAGATGATATTCTCTACTAGTCTCTCTTCACCAGAATCGTTCGAAAATGCACGTCAAGCCGCATTCATGAGCTCTAGATTCTATACCCACACGTGCTCTATATGCGCTTGGTGGTAAACAAGCATCTAAAACGTTAGTGCTCCTCTATGATGTCTGTCCCTGGGATTGATCCATCCTTCGAGGACCGCGTATTTATTGAGTCACGAAACAGTCTAGAGCTAGAGGGCTCCGTTAGTCTTTGTTAACCCCTATATTGCCCTTTATATAGCGTTTTACGGTGTTAACGCAAGCCTCTTCGATGTGATTCAATTAATACCGGCTCCTCGTACTACGTTCAGCCGTTGGAAAAGATACATGCAAGCATTTATAACATATGCTCGGGTTTCTGATCTCCGCCAAATGCGAAGCCAATGTTCTTCATGGGGCAGAATTCTTTCATCTACGTCTTATAGAAAACGAGAACCGTACACAGATCGTGGATGGGTTTTTCTAGTTGGCAGCCCACACTCAAAATTTGATTCACTTCGATCATGAAGGGTTCACGAAAGAACACCAGCAAAACATGTATGGAGCAGCATGCCTTCTCGGATTTACCCATGAACCACTAATGATGTGTATGAAACATGTCTAAATGTCTGAATCCCGAATTGTCGTCTACAAAACAAATTGGCTAAAGTATCATTGAAGATGATTCAACAGAGAACCTCAAAACGCTGCAAGACTTGAACAATGCCTCATAAAATTAGGCTCACCCACGACGTAAGACTTTCAAAGTCTTGCTACAAAGCCAATATGTTGGCGCCTGGGGCCTTTGGAAATTGTAAGTCAATTGTTTTTCACAAGTATGGTTCCTGGAGGTGATAAATCAGGGCCGCGGCTTTACTTCTGAAACCATATCTATGCGATTACCATGTTCTCCACTCGCGGTGTCTATGAAACCTTATCGGAAGTACTTTTACGTGTTTCGTCTGGAGACTCGACTTGAACCTGACATACCGCGCGCAAAAATCAAGGTGTGAGTTAGATGACTTCTTCGTCTTCGGAGTATGAATAAGTCTACTGCTTCAAGCATGTCAAGGACTCAATCGCGGTTGGTACGAGATAAGACATGCGAAGTATTCTACACCTTTCAACTATGGCGGAACTTGTCTCATCAACCTTTAAGCCTTGTTACCTCCAAAACCGCACTCGACGCGTGACTATGTTACTGGGGTGCTGGAATCTGGTATCGAGAGATGTCTCAGAAGCAAACCGGATAAAAATCAGAAGCACAAATCATGATGTGGTCCGCCGCTTCACCTCTACTCTTCTGTAAGATTTCTAAAGTTCAATCGAATGGGACACAGACCAATGGACATGGTGAGAAGGAACGATGGTATGGTACAAAGTCACTGTCCTGGCCTTTCAACTCTAGTATAACATCAGGAAGCACACCGGATGCTTTGAGAACTTCCAGAACGTGCTCTCTATGTCGCTGTGGATTTCTTCCTTCGGTATCAAAATTTCACACACGCTGCCAGCATGTCGTGGTATTTGACACTCTGAGGGCTGACGCTTTGAGATCTACATCGTCTGCACGACCCAATTCTCTGTATTTCTTCCACGTTGACATCATCTCAAAATTCAACGCATACCACGGCATGTGAAACGTGGGTAACTCTGTTCGAAACGCCTAACATTGGTAGCTGATGTCTTTGTGCTTGATGACTCGCATTGATTATGAAAGCGCCGACAACTATATGATGTGAAGTTATTCCGAAAAAAGGATCAGGTGCCATGTGCGCAATTTCCCTTGGTGTACTCGCATGCAAAGCAAGAAACCCGCAGTTTCAACTATTACATCCGTCAGCAAAAGTCAGCAAAAGCGAATATTCCACATTCATGGAAAGAATCCCCCCAGCTGTTACTAAACTGAACGCTCAATCATGTCTTGACATGTGAACCGGAAAACCAAAACCCAGATGGGCCTGTTGTATAAGTATACCAAAAACCAGGTCTTGACAGAAATGAGATTGGTCTGGAGACGTACTTAATATCTCCTATGATCTGGTACGCTCCCTCCTCTATTCAGCTCCGGAACGAGGTATCACAGGCTCATATGCTGTTTGCGTCGTCCCTGAACGTTCCTCCTGGGTCTCTTTAGAATTTTCTACATGAATGAGGATCATTTTGCACTCCTTCAGAATTGGGAATCTTCCCTAGTCTATGGACAGCCTGTTCCCTGCCGTCTCTAAAACGTCTGAAGGGGACGATATGTTGAGCTTCCCCTTCCAGTATATCCAGAACATGTACTGAATAAGCCCCTGTAAATGACAAATGAAGTTGCAGTGTCATTGTCCAACAAATGCTGATTCAAACTGTACATGGTCTGTCCAGTGCTTCGCAACTCTCGGGACCCCATGTCTATTAGGAACGACTTCAGTATCCGCGATGAAGCAGGCGAGCTCCATTCCAAAACTCATAATAAAGATACGAGACAACAAACATGATGGAGCAAATCTGGTTCGCTCTGAAACCGTCGACTGCTCTGTTGCTATGTTCAAGAAGCCAAAGAAACCCGCAAATTCCAGAAGCAACTAGCAATATATCCGATGGAGTACTTCCACTCCGATCCGAAAGACTCATAAGAAAGGTTCTATGTGCTTGTTGCTCTGCAATCGAAAATCAACAACTCATCGCTTCTATGTTGCTTCGTTTGCCCAATCCACAGACAAATTGCTGGATGCACACCTGCAGATATCTTCTGAATCCCTTGTAACGCAATGTGCGGACTCTTCAAATCTATGGTCTCGACAGAACATGAAAGAATACCGTGCTAGGTGGCCATGCGTGCGGGCACAATACTTGAATGTGTATTAATATCGAGAAACGTCTTGGGAAGTATCACACCTCTTCCCGAGCCATTGCAGTCCTCTAAACTCTACCTCAAAAGCCAAGATCAACTATGGAATGTTGGACAATCTGATTCGAAGCTTGAATCGTAAAGACATTCCAGAAGCCCGTATGACTTGGAACTCTTCTGCTTCAAAAGCCAAGTACCACAAAAATATGTTTTGAGCAGTCACCAAGAGCTTGTATCGATCAAAATGGAGAGGACAGCGACAGCATGGAGTACTTCCGCTCTGCTTCGAAAATGCACACTGGCAGGAGAGCATGTTGCTTGCTCTGCACTCTTGAAGGACCCAACTCAAAAATTACACACGCTACGACTGCATGCTGCGTCGTTTCGCCAAAGCACGATACATCAGCTGCATGTGTCGTGTGGAAAACTTATCCCAGAAGAATGAAATGACATTTGAAGTCATAGGCATCAACCAAAAGTCTTGGTACTATGTTGCGATGTGTGCAGATCGAAAGGCGACAGCATTACCTCAAATGCAGATTCCTCTGCATCCGCGCCGTCACCGTATTCCCACATGGCTACCCGGCCTTGAAAAGGCCCAGTCACGACTATCTATGACCCGTGACAGCAATCCACGTTCCTCCTTCAGCATGATCAAATGAATAAATAAAGACCTCTAGATGCGAGTTGTCCTCGACGCTCAAAAAACAATACAGGAGGAACGCATGAAGTGAAAAGAAGCATAGACCATACATCCCGATGGGAGGAGCGCTGATTTCGTACACTGCTAAAAGCAGTGATCATCAACATCATTATCGTTTCACATTAACGATGCAGATCTTGACATGATACATGATACAGTATATGGTACAAAACAAGATAAGAGAAGACACTGAAGAAGACACAATGGAAGCATATCCTCTTGCACAAGCAATTTTTTCAGACCATACATCATTCATCACACTAGTACGTACTCGTACGATAAGAAATCTTCACCCTCTGACTCTGAAAACAGCTACTCCGCTTCCTCACCTGCGAAAGCAGCGGGCGTGCAGGATGCTCTTTCTGTACCGGACTCAACACCGGCATCGCATCCAGAACTAACGTCGATGAAGTCGAAGTCGCAAAAATCTGGACGTCTTCTGATGTTCTTGTTGACATGGGATTCGGAGGACGTTGGGCAACGTAAGTTGATGTCAGACAGATAGGTGTCGTAGCAGGAAAGTCGTATAGTGTGGATAAAGGTATCGGTGTAGAAGATGGGGAGGCGTGAAGTGCTAGCCTCTTTCGTCTGCGGTACTGTAGCAAGGCTAGGATGCCTACGATGAGGGAGCCGGAGGCGAGGAGTACGGAGAGAACGGCGAATGTGGTTGTAGAGAGGAAGTCTGAGTGGTCGTTCGAAGTCGTATTTGGAGTACGATCAGTTGTCGTGAGATTGTGGCATGTTGTGTCGTTGTGGAATAACCTCTTCATGCTGGATAGTCTCGTAGACGGTATGCTAGGGAAGGCTGAGGAAGTTGCCAACTCTGATAAGAAGTAGGCTAGCGTAGAAAGGTGTAAGTGAACTGAAACGGCCATAGTGCATAGAGGTCTCTGAGCCAATAACGTTGCATGAGACCTTGGCCAAGGTGTAAGATTCTGGTCGATAGTGGTAGCCTCGTTAGAAAGTAGCTGGAATCGAAAAGTACGCACAGATCGGTAATCAAGAAATATATACAACCTAGCCTTCGCAAGCTGAAGTCTCACTCACCTACGTCACATACCTCCGGTGAGGTAGGTGAGATCCTAAGCCTCTCCAAATTCGAGTTGCCAGTCGCACATCAGGACGCTGCGCCACTGCCGTTGTGTCGAAAGGGAAGCGAGCTGCTTCGGATTGGCTGGGGCCAAAAGTGGCTGTCCCTCAACACGAAGAACGTCAGTGGCGGCGCAGCTGAGAGTCTTCTACTATGGAGCACGAGTAAAGGAGATAAGAGCAAGATCAAAAGAAGAGCCGAAGGCAATATCTCTGCAGGATTTTTTGTAGGCAAGCACACGTAGCATATAAGCCAGCTATGCAATCAACAACATTCATACGGCAAAGCAAAAAAAAAAGAAAACCCAGCAATCGAAAAGCGACTGGGACGGCGCCCCGCACCTGAACAAAAACCAAAAAGCTGGACACTGTGGGAATTGAACCCACGACCTTTCACATTCTCACGTTTGGATTGTGCGAAGCGAAAATCATACCCCTAGACCAAGTGCCCTGTATTGATTTGTGATAATGTTTGCCCAGTAGATAATAAATGTTCATATTTGGAAGAATGATTCGCGACGGGAAAGAAAAGCATGGGTATCTGGACGGCAAAAGTCTGGTTCGTGGGGGCCAAAAATGAGGGGGTGCACATCCATTGGTGCGGATATACAGGGCACCAGATTGGGCTATGGACCTCGGGATGGCGTACCGACCAAGTGCTTACGATGGCGTGGTTTGGCATCATCACGAGCATGAGAAAGAGCGCCTGACAGTAGAACTAGTACCTAAATATACTGCAAGATAACTCGGTCTTGGATTGTATGCTCCGCGAGCCTCGCATCAGTGACAGCTGTTCGTCGGAAGGGTAATTCAGAGCACAGAACCACACATCAATAAAGAGAGCGAACACAGCACACGACACAATCATTACACATGCAGAACAATCATATATCAGTTCATATCGACATCGAATGCTATACCCATACCGCTTCAACCCAGAAGCTAGCCCATTGCCCACCGCCGTAATCCATCACTGAACCGGTAGGCACATCGAAGTGAAGTCACCCCATCCTGCTCTCTCCTGCGCTCCAACGTCTATTTGACCGTCTTACTCGTCTTCTCCTCCGCCGCCTTCTCGAGCGGATGAGTCGGGTTCGAGCTCAGACCAGATAGCGTGTTGTCGCTGGACTTCTCTGCGCCCTCTGATGGTGCTGCGCCCTGGTCGTTGGGGTTTCCGGCAACGGGGTCCTTTTGCTGGGCGCCGGACTGCTGCTCGGGCTCTGGGGACTGGCGGCCGGCTTGAGGTGCGGACATGTTGTGTGTTTGTCTGAGGAGGTCTGTTAGTTGGCGGAAACATTGGGAAAAGGAAGGATGAGGGCGCGGGATGGTTACTTAAGGACGTACAGGGGACGAAGGTTTGTTGTGAGTGTGGTTTCTGAAGATTGTCAGTTTCGCAGTTCAGTGAGGGCAGAGAAGAACTTACGCTTGATATGTGTGAGGTATACGAGGTTCAATTGTTTCGTCAAAGGTGTTGTTGGGCGTTGAGAAGCAGACGAGTTTGCCCCGCGGTTTACATAGGCATTCGTCGCGCTGCCCCACGATGACATCACTCGCCGACCGGCCTTGGCATCTCGATCGGGCAACTATCCATAGTTGCAACGTCAGGCGCTGGCTGACGAACTTTGCTTATGGAGTATTTACTGTCTCCTGAAACCGCGCGGAGATATTGCGTTGGGCTCCAAGGCGCAGATTTTCGCCAATGAGAATACTTTTATGATGCAGGCAAGTACCGTTTACATAGATACCCTTGATGCTTGATAACGCCATAATGTATGCCCAGTGAAAATGCTCAACATCTCTTCCCCATCTCCACATCTGCACCCCCCAGGTCATCGTCATCATCCCACCCCTGCCCTCTTAGTCCCCTGCCAGCCCAAAGACCGAGCATAGTCAACGCGCTGGCTGTCAGGAACCATCCTTCGAACCACCTCTCCACGAAGCCAGACTCAAGCGGTGCTCCAAGAGCATCTGATATAGCACTCTTCATCTCGGGTGGAAGATTGCTCCGTAAGAGTAGCGCCGAGCTGATGACGTAGGTTGCGGAGATTTGCGAGATAAGGAGGGCGAAGTTAGCGCGAGCATGGTGCAAAATACCTGGTACAACTCGCGCAAACAGTAGAAAAGTCTGGACTACGCTATTGAAAGATGCGAAGAGCATCACGCCAGATAAGAGAAAGGAGATTGTTCGACTCCATGCCACACGGTCGATGGTGGGGTCCCAGTGCTTAGCCAAAATAGCGAGAAAGTTGTTGATGGGATCGCTGTTGGAGAAGTTGGTGTTTGGCGAAGAGAATCTGCGGATGGTGGTAAAGGTGGTTGCAGTTATGCGGTAGAAGCAGTATATAGAAAATATGAATGAGAACAAATTGAGCAGTCGACCAAGAGCAGTATGAGAGCGAAGTTGTGATTGTCTTCGGCTTTGCAGGACCATGAGTGAGTTTTGGAGAGTTGTACGCATCGTCTCGAGACCCTGTATCTCGAGCTGTAGAGTGTTGCGCTCTTGCACATCCGCATTGCCACGAAGAGAGCCAACAACCCTGGTCATGAAACCTTCTTGGGGTGCTTCGGACAGTTTGCGTTGTACAGCTCGCAGCCTGCTTTCCTTGGTCATGAGCATATCGTTTGTAGCGTCCACTCCAGCTTGTTTACGAGCTAGATCTGACTCGGTGACCTGTTTGAGCTAGTAAGGGATAGGTCTACGAAGTGAGTTTGAAAGGACGGAAGAGAGTTGATGACTTACCAGGCGGTACTTCACACCAAATGTCTGCCACAAGGAGCTTACAGCCGCGAATCCTGCAAGAGATGCCATGAGGCTGACTCCAATGACCCCAATCCTTTCCAAACATCCTTCGCTGATGCTGTGGTCTCTGATGTAGGACTCTTCATGTAGGTACTGGCCCAGCAGCGCTCTTCCTAGATACCAGAAGCTCCCCAGCCATAGGGTAAGACCTACTCCTTCCAGCAGCCATGCCATGCGTATATGCATCCGCCCTTCTCCCTTGAAGCTCCATCCCGCACCTGATATGACCGACTGAATTTCCAAGGCAGGCGTCGCGATGATCAGGAGGAACAGAAGAGATGGCAGCGTGATCTTCAGAGCCAGAGTGCGCGTTGCTGGGTTGACAGTGTTCGCAATCTCGCACAAGAGGAGTTCGACTAGTACAGCCGAAAGCGCGATGTTCGTTGAAAAGGTGACGCTGGCAAGCGTGCGATGGGTTATGCGCAGATACTTGAAGAGAGATGGCCGTTCGCGCAGGGCAAAGGCGGGTAGGGCGCCATCTTGCTGGCTCTTGTGCGGTGAGCGGCCTGAGAGCAGCGGGTATAGCTTCTGCGATACAGCGGCCGCGACGATGAAGAAGGTCAGGACGAAGGGGAGGGCGGAGAGGACTATCGTAGACGGTCGGCGCTTGTTGACCCAGTCAGGAACGCATTCATCGCAGTCGTCTGCGGCGAGCATAGGGCTGACAATATGAGGCGACGGTGCCTCGCTTTAGCTTGTTGTCACTTGTGTCTATTTGCCGTCGAAGAGCGCGCTTTCCACTGGCCCAGCAGATGAGCTTGACAGGTCATGACACTGTCGTGTCCTCTTGGTGTAAGCTCGGTGAACGATGACGAGGCTTGAGGGAGGACACGCGGAATGCGTTTCGCTCGCCTCGCCTCGCTACTGTAGCTGGTACCGCTGCACATCCAACGTCATTAGAGTGATCAGCGCCAGGATCAGGAGGGGCATCTCCAGACGAGAGGACGATAAGACTACTCGTACACAACGTGGTCAGAGTTCAATATTGCGCACGTGAATCATGACCGGCCTACGCAGACTTTCTTTTGGTTTATTGAGCTAATCTATTGATTGGCGTACCGCGTGACTTGAGGTTATCAAGTGAACCAGCTGGCCCCTCCAACTCTGCCCAATGCGGGTACTGCGGGTATCTTCTCAAATTTGGGAACTTTCAAGTAACAATCATGGCCATAATCCTCCGAATGCTCCGCTGTATACGATATGTGGATATGTTCGTGAGCAATACGATAAGAATGATCGATGGTTTTAGGTCTCTTCAGTGTTCTTCAGGGTTTGCTTCTCCAGGGCCTCCCTAATGGCGTTAGCATCACTGACTAGAGGATCCGTGAAGCCTCCATCTCCATTCTCCTGGTCTTCAGTTTGCTCGTTTTGCGCCAACGATGAGGTCGTCGTTGAAACACCCCCTTGGTCCTCCTCGTCACTGCTGCTCACCTCACTCAACTCGGGACTGTCCAAATTCTGAAGGTCCGGGCTCTTCATGACGACTCCCGGGCTCCGGAAGTCATCGAGGCTGAGCTTGTCTTTACTTTGAGCTGCTTGCACCTGCACCAGCGGACTCTTTTCTTTCTGGGGCTTATATCCAATTGCCGCAGCTACTGCAGCAGCCTCATCGTCAGACGCAGGCTCTTCCTCCAAGATGAAACTGTTGCGGTGACTAGCATCCAATACATTGGGTCCAGCTTTCTCCAGCAGGTCCTTGTAACCGTGTCGGCTGGGATCTAGCGCACGCTTCACTCTCGCTTTGTCCCGTTTTGAAGACGGGCGGACGACGATGACCGGCACAGGTGAATGCTGCAAGCAGTATTTGGAGACTGAGCCAGGAAGCAAGCCTTGAAATCCGCCGAGGCTCCGGCCTCGAGTCCCCACGACCAGGATTGCTGGTTCGTACAGATTGATCTGTGGCTATATTAGTTTCTCCCGAATCGACATTACTCTCGAACGACTGACCATCTCATCGATAACTTTGTTTACCTTCCCAAGCGCGAATTCAAGAATAAGGTTGATGGCTTTGTTTTCGTGATTCTTGTTCTGGATTGCCTTCATCAATACCTCTGCTTCCGAGCGATATCGTCCCTTTTCCACGCTTCGGTCGCCCGCAACTGCGTCATCTTTCTCGACCACCCTCAGGCACACAATCTCGTCGCCATCATCCACCAGCTCATCGATTAGCCATTGCAACGCGTACTCGGAATATTCATTGTCGTCACATCCACACAGGAATGTTCTCGAGCGTTTGGTGTATTCATAGTCCTTGTGCTTGGCTATCAAGGTGAAGGAATTTTCCTCGATGAACTCAGCGGGTCGGTCGAACGTATCGAACGACACGCGCGGTTGGAAGACGCTGCAGTGGTACAGTCAGCGAACGTTCACTAGTTGGGGCGACTGAGAGGGACATCGTGGGGCTGTCAACGTCATTGCTGCCTCGAAGAGCCACCGCCAGTTTCAGGGCACGCGCCCACATACTTGCTCGCCATGGCCTGGGGGAGGGGAGGGGAGTGTAGAGGGAAAGGTGGCGAGTCGTGTGGACGGGTGGAGGGCATGCACGTTGTATGACGGGTTCGGACGTATGTACGCTGGGACGGACCAATGCTACTTACGGTGGAGGCGGAGGTGAGGATATGCGCCGCTTCACGCGGGCAGGTTTTGGACTG